AAAAAAAAAAAAAAAAAAGAAGCAAAGGAAAACAACCTAGAAATGGAGTTTGCTTACTTAGAAGGGCAAGTAAAGATAAAAATCAATGCTAAAAATATATGGTTCATTAGTTTGCGATAAAGAACTGCCTGAGACTAGGTAATTTAAAAGTAAAGGGATTTAATTGACATAGTTCCTCATGACTGGGGAAGCCTCAGGAAACTTACAATCATGGCAGAACACGCCTCATCGCAGGGTGGCAGGTGAGAGAATGAGTGCAAGCCAGGAAGATGCTAGACACTTATAAAACCATCAGTTCTCATGAAACTCACTTGTAATCACCAGAACAGCATAGGAGAAACTGCCCTCATGATCCAATGACCTTCACCTGGTCCACCCTTGCCACATGGGGATTATTACAGTTCAAGTTGAGATTTGGGTGGGGACACAGAGCCAAACCATATCATATGGGTCCTTTCTTTCTTTCTTTCCTTTTCTATTCTTTTCTTTTCTTTTCTTCTTTTTCTTGAGATGGAGTCTTACTCTTGCTGCCTAAGCTGGAGTGCAGTGGCACCATCATCTCTGCTCACTGCAACCTCCACCTCCCAGGTTCAAGCAATTCTTCTGCCTCAGCCTCCTGAGTAACTGGGATTACAGGTGCCTGCCACCATGCCCAGAGAATTTTTGTATTTTTGGTAGAGACGGGGTTTCACCATGTTGACCAGGCTGGAGTTGAACTCCTGACCTCAGGTCATCTTCCCCTTTCGGCCTCCCAAAGACTGGGAATTACAGATGTGAACCACCATGCCCAGCCATGGGTCCTTCTTGCATACTGGACATAAACTTGAGTGAATCTTAAATTAAGAATTTTAAAGTTTTCAGCTCAGAGCAAAATCTCATGTCAACTAATAGTACAACCAAGTTGCTCATCCCTTCTTCTTCTCACATTCCCTTTTAAGACATCCTTCTGCATTTTTGTCTTCACTTAGTTCCAGAATTTATATATATATATATATATATATATATATATATATATATATGTTTTTGTATGTATGTGTGTACTTTATACTTTCTGTTTTCTCTTTCCTGATACTATTTCATAAACATAACTGTGTAAATCAACTGTTTTGGTATTAGAACCAATTATCACAGGAGATTCATGACATTTACCAAGTCTGGATATTTGCAAAGAAGCTAGACTAAACTGATAATTTTGAACTTGCTTTTGCAGAGGGCTGACCTGGCAGTGGCTCCTCTTACCATCACCTATGTGCGGGAGAAAGTCATTGACTTCTCCAAACCCTTCATGACCCTAGGCATCAGCATTCTCTATCGGAAGCCCAATGGTACCAATCCAGGTGTCTTCTCCTTTCTCAACCCCCTGTCTCCAGATATTTGGATGTATGTGCTCTTAGCCTGCTTGGGAGTCAGTTGTGTACTCTTTGTGATTGCAAGGTAAGTTTAAGAACCACTGAATTCCCAAGAGGTGTAGGTCAGTCTCAGATTCCTGTATGTCCCAGAGGCAGACAAAAATTAAGAACTTCGAAGTGTACTTTTAGTTTTGCCTAGTGTTCTGTTCTTTCAGGTTTCCATATAAAAGTCGTTCTGTAAATGAATGTTTTCTAATTACTTATAAAGTTACTTTTAAAAGGGAGGAAGATAATTTTTAATATGAGTTTAACTTTATCCCTATTTCAAGCAACATAAAATGGTTATTTAGCCATTTTCTTTGATTTATAACAAAAGCAATGCCTCATGTCTAAAATGTTTCCATAGGAATAGTAAAATGGTGTCAAGATATCTGACCCCTAGAATATTTTGATAAGCAAAACATTAAAAAGTTAGCAAATAATTATCATAGCAAATAAAAAACACTGAAGAAAAAAGATTGTCAAATCCTTAGGAATAAAAAAATACTTCAAAACTTCTATTAAATTTATTTTTAAAACATTAGAAAGTTAAAGAGAACTCTAGGAATAATGCTGAAAGGAAAGATTGCTTACAGACAGAGCCTGGGGACATGAAACCTTTGTGCTACCATTAAGATGATTCAGTTCAGGTTTTTATTTTTTGAGATTTAACTTTGTATTTAACTCTTTTGTTCTACACAGTTCCTTAAATGATTTTATACCTTTCAGTAGATCATATTTTCTGAATACCTTTGACGTTAAATTTGAAACAGCTATTTTATCTTTCTGTTGGCTTAAACATTTGCTATCCCTAGATAAACCATGTTTTTTTTAAAAAATTGCTTTTGTATGTCCCTACTTATTTTCACTCATTTTCACCTTTCATCAAAACTCAGTGAACTTTTTCCCTAATCGATTTTTGTTTTCCCTCCAGGAATTTCTAAGAGAAATATTTCTTCATGCTAGCTCTTTGTCATTGTCCACTGTCTGGTTTTGATTAATGCCAGGTAACTCTTTCCCTGGTGTAATTATAAAGAAAGCTTGGGAAGATAACCCAGGCTGGAAAGGTTTTAAAGATCCACAAGGCAGACATACAGAAACTGAATCAATGTGTGCTCTCACATGTGGGTATTTATATATTCAAAACAAAATGAATGCTTTCAAGTTCTCTATGCCTTTTAGAGTGTGCCATTATCAAAGCTCAGATTTTGTTTTTAGCAACCAAATCTCCCTTTCAGGATGCCTTACTTCAGAAAATTAAATGTTGACAGTATGTACAGTAATATCATCCTTTTATATTTTAATACTCTAAATCAGTGGTTCTCAACTAGGAACGATTTTGTCCCCCAGGGAACTTTTGGAATGTTTGCAAACATTTTTTTAGTTGTCACAACTGGGAGTAGAAAGTAGTACCAAGTGGATGGAGCCCAGGGATGCTGCCAAACATCCAACAGTGTATAGGACAGGCACGCCCCCAAAAATTAATCACTCCAAAATGTCAATAGTACCAGGGTTGAGAAATCCATGCTCAAAATATTGCTTTGGGTATTAAAATTTTTAAAAATAAATTGTTTATAATTTAATAAATAATTGTTTACCTTTGGAGGTATATTTTTCATTACTCACTCCTCAGTGAAGTTAATATTGCCTTGGAATGGCCATTTAATAAATGGCCACCCTAAGGTGAAGCACCTTCTAATAAGGAATCTTGTATTTACTTGTTGCTGCACACCTCTGCCCTGAGGCCCATGCCTCTTGGGTGACATTCAGACTGGTGCAGCAATTCATGCAGCCCAGGGCAACAGAAAAGTGAGTTTTCATACTTCGCAGTCTCAGGCTCTGTCTAGACAGAGATGTTGATGAGTAGAACAGGCAAGGCAATGTTGATGAGAAAATACATTGCTTTTATGTAAATAAAATACACATTTATTACATGACTTAACCAAAGCCAGTGGGAGAAGAAATGCCAGCAGCATCCGAAAGTTCTCACAAGAACACAGGCTGAAAGTATGCTTTTACACTTGACTCGAACTGTGCACTTAAATCTCCTTATTTTTGTCATCACAGTATGTCAGAATGGCATACCATTCAGTAGTTTTCCCCTCCTTATTTTATCTGTTCTTCCGTAAGCTTGCAGTGACCCAGACCTCCATATTTCCGGACTTCACATATTTTATTTCTGTTAAGATAACAGCATCCCCACAACCAACATTGATGCAATTCATTCGGTATTCCTACTCTCTGAGAGTACCATTTATAAGCCAATCCTTCCTTATTTAGCTTATTCTTCTTGTCTCCCCTTACACTGCTTTCTTGCCCTGGTCTTGGTTCAGACATGGAGGTGTTATGCACCAAATGCAAACTTGGAAACAGTATGGTGATGCAATATAGAAAATAACCCCCTACAAGGCACAAGCATACTGTCATGAAGACTCTACTTTCAACTTCATTTACCTTCTCTACACCTTTGAATCCATCCCTGCTTCTACTTTATAAAGCCACTAAATATATATTTAGAGGTGATTTCCAAAAACAAAATTCTGCTTAAGAAGATGTACCAATTCACTTTTACTTCCCACCATCATAGTTTGAGACCATAAACTCAAGTAACTCTGCACTCTCAGGTACCACCTTAGTGTTTTGCATTCCAAGTTAAGAAATTGGAAATAAAAAACAGGAAATCTCATAATCATCTATAGCTCTAGAGAGACTTTTGAATTTATGCTGTGAATTGTATTCTTTTTTGTTCTTTAAAGAGGAAAATAAAGTCCCATCACTGTATTTAAGTGAATGCCCTCACTAGACAGATACCTAAAATTATCTGCTGAACTGAATTAAATGTATAAAGATGTAGACATCAGGGGGACAAACTAAGGAAAACAATATTTAATTACTATGACTTTTCACAAGTGTATATGTTGGGGTTTTGGTTTTGTGGTTGATTGTTTCCACTTTTTGAAAAATATTTAACACCAAGAAATTATGTCCATCATAAACAATTTAAATAGATCAATTATCCGATAGAATGTCTGCTTAAGTTTTATAATTTATGTTTGTCTTCTTTAAAATTGACATTTTTAAAATTAGCATCTGGCAGAAAAAAATCCAGAAAACCATTGAAAGTAAATTCTATGGTTACGATACAAACCCAACCATTAGATTACAAGCTCAATAGAGCATTCTCCCTTAAAAGATGAGTGGATTTTTCTCTTCTCAATGCAGCCTACTGTGCATTCTCAGCCACAGAAATTAGACCCTTAATTAGAAAACTTCAGTGTGAGCTTGTTTTACATCTTCCATTCAAGTGGAAGTCTGGCATAAATAAACATAAACCCAAAGTGAACTTTCACATTTCAACATAAGGCTACTCTTCTATATGCAAGTTTTGTCACAGGTTTTAAGCACATTTGTTCCCTTCTCTATCATTTTAGTAAAGATCAGTATTGATTTCTTTAGAGTCATTCAGGGATAGCAGTTTTGAATTATCTTTGGTGTAGGTCACATATTAATCTTTTCACCAGACTTCCTAATGCTGACACTGCTGTCACACTGGCATCTTTAAGCAGGCATTAGGAATTCCAAGCTGAAATTTCTACATCCAGGCAACAGGTAGGTCTATTGCATTATAGAAAGCCACTGTGTTACAGCACGGCATCATGTCACTGTTTAATATTCACCAGACCACATACTCCACAAGTCACTCAGAATCCCAGAGAGAAGGAACCTAAAATATCTCTGCAGAGCTGGCAGAATCACATTGCTGTTTAGACAGTTTTACTTTTTGCCACACAAAAATTAGATTAATTGTTCTCTTATAAGTGCAAAGTATGAAACAAGACCAAGTTAAAAGCAGCATTCCAAAGAGGAGAGTGATGAGCTCATTGATGGGAGCATATCTGAGAGAGAAATGCCAGAATATTGAAGGGCTGGTGGTTGCCAAGTCTTACGGTCTATTTGAAAAAAATAAAACCCCTTCTCTTGAATACATTAGCCTCTAAATTTATTTCAATTAATATTTTTAAATTATTATACAAGTGACAATGATAGTGTTTAAGTAATGGGATCTTTACTCTGCATGCTGTTTCAATTAATAGGTTCATTAATATTAGTGTTCATTTCTTCAGCTCAGCAAACTACTATGGCTATAAGAGTGTGCAAATTCAAAACTTAATTATATTGTTGAAACATTAATTAAAATGTATTGGCATGGCATTGTCAATTAAAGCTATATTCGCCAGCTTCATAGGAACCTGCGTGGTGTACCCTGCAGCTGTGGAGAAGCTGCAGTAATGAGTCGGATTTCATTATGCTGGGATCAACTACCAAGCTGTTGCCCCAGTCCCCCTAAGACTCAATGAGGAGGCACTGAACACGTTCCAGAAGGTGTCTGGAGGTTTAGAAAATGGTTTTTCATGAAGAGGAATTGTCTGCCCAGTTCCTTGTGCTGGATTCACAACGTGCCTTGTTTTCATATACATAATGTATTCACCTTAAGCCCAGTTCTCCCCAGTGTGTCAGCAACCTGCCATTGTTTACTGCTGAAACTCTGTGGCAGGAGAGCATTGCATGTGTTCTCATGGGCTTTATGGGGTTTAACATTACCCGAACACTCCTGCTTGCATTGAAAAGACCCAACGGCAAATGACTAATCTTTCAGTGCTAAAAATTACTGCATTTTAAATTATTTCCAGATCACTTTGTTGAGCTTCTGCTAATGTCTTTTTGGAAAAATAGGTACCGCTTGGCAGGATAGCCCTGGAAAGTAGCCACAGAGCAGAGACCTCCTTTGGGCTACATAGGTCAGATCGATGGTTTAAAAAAATAGAGAAAGAACCAAAAATGTATTTGGTTCTGCAGATTTTTGTTTTAAGTACATCCCTAGAGATATCTGGATTCCCTCCTCTTTATGAATAAGGAAATTGAGGCCAGAGAGGTTGAGCGAATTGTTCCAAGTTGACTTCCCATACTACTAGCTGTTTTTCCAGAAACGTTTACTGCCTATAGCGCACAATCTTGCAGGTAGAGCTGTAATAATGCTATAGAAAACATACCACTTACCAAACCAGGTTGGTGATTAAGTGACGACAGGCCATAGTTCTGAAAACAAATTTAAAACAAATCAAAAGGAAATTATGAAATTAAAATTCTCCAGTGAGGCATGCTATGCCATTAATACTAATATATACCACTAGACCTGGACTAGAATAATTCCAAATGTAAGCCTTGTCTCTTGGTTTAGGATTATGATTTTTTTCCCATGTACTATTCAAAAACATCTAATACACTCCAAATTCAGCTCTACATTTTGTTCACTGATTTTTTTTTAGCCTTGCAACCCTTTTGATGGATTACAAAATCGCTAGACCGTCACTTAGACTCTTTCTAACCATTGTCCATACAAACCCCTTGAAGGCAAGTCACACCTTTTTTTGTGTCTCCCACAGGATCTAGCAACATAGTATCTTGACAGTGTAGTTGCTATACAACAAGTGTGTGTCACATTCATCGCTATTTGGTGGGGTAAATACTTGGGATGAGTGAACCTTTTTTTACAGTTCATCTAGTTGTTCAGTAATATGGAAATGAAAGAAAACTCAGAAGAATTCAGTAGACATAGATCTGTGGAGTACAATTCCAGCTGACTATTTGCCTAGAAATAAGAAGTCTGGTAAATATTAACGTCTCAAGGCTGTTTGCACTTTGCCCACCAAAGCTGTAAGTTTCTGACTATGGCCTTTACCCCTTTGGTTTGAAGTTTTCGCCATGAATTGTTGGGTTTTCTGCATTGCTCAGCAGGTTTTGCTGGTGCCTTGTGTGCTTATCTGATATTTACAGCCTGTTTCTGTTAACTACCACAGGTTTACACCCTACGAGTGGTATAACCCCCACCCATGCAACCCTGACTCAGACGTGGTGGAAAACAATTTTACTTTACTAAATAGTTTCTGGTTTGGAGTTGGAGCTCTCATGCAGCAAGGTACACCGGTTGCCTATCTTTGTTACACGCATCCCACAGTGTGCTGACAGGCTTTCATGCTGGTAAACTCCACCATGAAGCTAGAGGGTAGGATGAAACACCATCTCAGGAACTTAAGAAAATAGCAACTCACTTTCTAGCCAGTTCTGAAGATAAAGCAAAACCGATGACCTATATGGAACTCCTTTGCTATGTATCTAAAATAACACTTCTATCAGACAATAAATACAAATCTTCCTGTGGGCAGCAAAGGATAAGGTACCCTAGAAATTGCTTACAAATTTGCATAGACGGAGATGTTGCTCTTCTCCTTCAGCCATAGGTCCATGAGTCAGAGGTTTAAAGGAGCAGAATTTAAATCCTTTGAAGATTAAATTCACTGAGATTCTTCCAGTTGCTGACCTTACCTAGGACTTCCACCTAATTACTACTCTGGCAAACCCTACTGAGATTCATTTTAGTCTCCCAGTAACTTTTCACAATCTCCTTCGATTGGTAACCATAGCAACAATAAACTGTAGGAGTGGGGAAATAAAATTTGACCATAGAAATGTAATATATTTTATACATTTCCTATGAAATGGGGGATTCTGCTTCCATAGTAGAGGAATGGGGAGTTGTTTTAACCTTTGGAAGAACTCTCTTTTGTGATTTTTTTTTCAGCTTCAATGTCAGGCATATGGTATAGACAATACTTTCAGGATTAACTGCATTAATGTAAGAAAATCATAAGTCACAGATGCTATTGTGTTTGGAATATCTGCTCATCTGACAATAAGCTGCAAAATACAGTGGCAAAGGAAAATTCCACTGGGATGTACATTAAACGTGTTTTCTATTTGGGGTGAACGCTTAGGTTTCTCTTTAGGGAAGTGTTATAATACTTGAAGTATTTATCTTTTGGGTCTTCAAATTAGAGAGAGAGACTATGGAAATACCAAATTCTAATAATGAAATAGTAAATAGTTGAAGACAGTGGGAAAATTCTAGTTACACAATTAAATATGGTTTGCATGGGCACTGCTAAATAGGTATAGATACCATCTGATTTACTAGGAATCTCTTGCATAAATTTAGAGCATAGCACAGAAGTATAAATCCTGCAGAAAACCCCATATACTATTTTACCTATGCATTTAATTTTTAGGATATTTATCTTGTGAGCAATTACTGTCAGAGTGAAGGAGACCCCTGCTCCTTCCCTACACCTTGTCTTCTCCAGACATTAGAATAAATATGTATATATACTTTTAGGCTACACAGAGCATGCAGCAGGCCTGTGCAGGCATATGACTGTGACTGCTTTCTGTCATGTGAGTGCACACACCCCCGGAATTTATCTTTCATCTTTTGCCTGTTTGGAGTTTACCATCATCCACAGCACACTGTGGGATGCAGTGTCTGTTAGTTACCACTACCTTGGGTACATGACAGTCAGCCCCAACCAGACTCTGCTTGTCTTTTAAGAAGTTTACAAACATTTGTCAAGTGCAACAAATCTTTCCAGGTACAAGCTTGAGGTACTTGTGACTGTTAGTGCATCTGTCTCTAGCATGTGGCGTTGAACCAGGTAGTTATCCTCTGTTGCGCTCTCTCTTGTTAGCAGGAGCTTGTCATTGTACTCAATTGGAAACCATTTTGTTGCATTTTTTTTTCCAACACCCTATCAGGACAATAAAAGCATCCTATAGACCAGACATCTGACCTGCTGTACTTTACTTTTTTAATGTGATGATCAGACTTTCTCTTTTCTACAGAGCGTGAGCAAAGTCTGGATCAGGATTGGCTGTCATGTCTGCCGTAAAAGGCACTAAAGAGACTTCAGCAAGTATTGTCTCTGATCCCAAATATTTTCTAGTAATGTTTTACTCAACTTGTAATGCTTTTATAATTTCATCCTCTAGAGTACTAAACTTACACAAATTATTTCTATTTGAAAGAAGCCATTTGTAAGCATTTTAAATTAACATGGAGAACTATGAAATTCACAAAATTAGGTAAAAATAGAAAACAAGAAACATAGAGAAATCTAATTGATGCCCTATACTGAGAGTTTACAATGTAATCTCAATACATTTCTACTAATATTTTTATTAAATTTATAAGGTAACTTTATCCAAAAGTTTAAATATGCATTTTAAAGTGTGAAAGATGTGAATTAATATTATTATATATCAACAGCCTGTTGTTCACCTGTCTGTCCAGTCTTAATGCCATATAATACATAATTATACAAATATACAGATAAGTTAAAACCTCACATTTTCATAAATGCAACCAAATAACAAAAGAATAAATTTACAGCAGAAAATCTGCACCTATAAGCTAAGAAAAATATATCTATTAACTGTTATTTATTTCCTATGGCTATTTTATGAAATAAATGGTATTTTAATGATAACCAACTAAAGATCTAAAATAATATCACATTGTCACGAGACTGCTAGATCAATTAAGAACAAAGATAGAAAATAACCTTGGGCATTTAAACACACACACAACCAAAGGCATATAAATCCCATTAAACCACAATATTAGAACAACAGCAGCAAACTGTTCCACTAAATCCTTGGAGGCAATTTAATGGAAAATCATTAAAAATCTGTATAATATTCCCCACTCAAATTCAAACAAACGACAGAAGGAAACACAAATCGCTGTCAAACCATTTCCCTCATTAAAAGTGAATAGAATACAAAGATTCCTAATAGCATTAGGAGAATATATCCGTTAATTCAAAGCCCAGAAACTCTGCCAACCTTGATATGCTTATCACTAGCCTTGAGCTGGCTTTGATTTCATGAGCAGTATGTGCATCTGTTTATAGATTAAACCTCAGCACAAACTCATTTATTTGTAGATTGGTGAACTTCAATTTTCCTTTCCATCTTAAGCCATTATTAACTTCAGAGCTTCAAAACACCCTATCAGTATAATAAAAGGTTCCTATAGACCAAACATCTTACCAGCTGTACTTCACTCTGGGATTTGAAATTTAGGGTGTTTTTCTTTCACTTTTTATCTGGTCACCTAAACTCTGTCATGCCTTCAGGTTCATGGAGGATATGCTATGTACAGAACCAATGGCAAATTTCAGGCAAATGGACAATCCAAAATCCATTTCTAAATCAGTACAATTGGAGTGAACTTTAATAGTACCCATTTATTCTAATTCTGCTGCTGAATGTGTAGACTTTCACAGCTCAGGTTGAGCAAAATTGAGCTAGGCTGTCTCAAGATGTTTGTCTTTCATGTGAGTAAACCTAGCTCATGAACCTTTTCTTTTAGAGAGGAAGATTTTCTTGGTAAACACATTAAGTGCCTCTATTTTGTCATTTAAAAATAATTTAAAATCATCTGAATGACATCTAAAATGTATATTCTTACCAGAAACGTCTTCTTTCACCTAAGGAAAAGCCAGGCTTTGAAGCGTAGTTAAGAAACAGCTTTTTATTTAAGGACAAAATTATGCTTTGCAGAGAATATGTATTTTTAGCCAAATAAGAAGCTATAGTAGAAAAAAGAATTCTGGCTTTTAAAGTAACGTAAGTCAATAAAAACTAAGTCATCCACTGTCAAGCATGGCTGCATCTTACTTCATTTTATTTGTAATATCCCAATGTTTTATTAAAGAATATGTGATAAATGGCATGTTAATATTTTACAAGTTTCTCTCATTCTTTAACCTTAAATAAAAATGTTAGTATTTCAAAGCTTTTCATAGCTATAGAAAGACAGAAAACACTTTACTTCACATTTTAAGATGCATTTAGACAGTAATAAAAGGCAAAAAGTCTTGGGACTAACTTTTCAATTCTAAACAACTAAACTAACTATATTTTAGGCATGAAATATCTCCAGGTTAAAACTGTTTTAATGCCATCAACTATTAATAAATTACAGTTAAAGTAGCGGTAGTGATTAATGACTTGAAAAGAATCCTATAGATTTTGCTCCATTTTCTAGAAAATGCATTTATTTCATCTACATACAAGATGGTAAGTCTTCGATGGGTTGATCTCCCTAGAATAGTGTCAAACTGTACGTCTTCCCTTTCCTTCTGACTGTGTTTAACACCCTTACTCTGATAATACCATCACAGGATCAGAGCTGATGCCCAAAGCTCTATCGACCAGAATAGTTGGAGGGATATGGTGGTTTTTCACCCTAATCATCATTTCATCCTACACTGCCAATCTGGCTGCCTTCTTGACAGTAGAGAGAATGGAATCCCCCATAGATTCGGCAGATGATCTGGCAAAGCAAACCAAGATAGAATATGGGGCAGTCAGAGATGGATCAACAATGACCTTCTTCAAGGTAAGAAGCTAACAAAGTGTTTTCCATGATTATCTGATATTTTGGGTAGAGGATAAAAGAGTCTTTCCAAGAAAAGGAAAAAGAAAAAAGATATTGGACAATTTTTTAATGAAATACAATTTATAATTACATAATCCCATCATAAGGAACCCCTGGAGCCTCAGTCAGCATAAAGCAATTTCTTTGGTCCCCAACTAGGTGTCATTTACACCACCCCAATTTAATGTACTCAGGTCCATAGATCAATATCTTCAATATCCCTTCTTTCCTTTACACTAGAAAAAGAAATGCAATTTTCTGAATATAACCTAACCACTCATTAATCAATCACTCATTTGTAGAACCCACAAAATAAAGATTCCTTAATCCAAAATTCTGGTAACCAGAATGGTTGAATATCATTATCTTGTTCTTTCTGTCCTGTACTTGATGAGACAGAAGCGGATGATAAGAAAATGTGTTGATAATGGAATTTAGTTAGAGAATTAAGAACGAAAAAAATCCCAGGAGACTCTAGTCTAATATTAAGTCTGCATTGATGAAGGACAGTGTTTCCAGCCATGCATGAAGCTTTTCAAATTGTCGTCTGAGGCACCAAAAGAGAATTAAGTTGGATGAGTTTAGTTTTAATGTCAAGGGCATTTCATTGTTGAGGTCTTTTTAATTACTTATCCACAGTAATGAAGCTGATTTCTGCCTCACTTTTGTAGGAAACCTTAGTACTTTTATTATCAAATCTCAAATACTCTAATTCCCATGAAAATAGATTTTAATAGATCCAGTAGGTGTAGAGATCATGAAGTTCAACTCTTCACTTTACTTATGAAAAGAGCAAAACCTTGAAACACTAAATTATCTGCTCCAAGTCACACACCTAGTCTATAACAGAGAAGGGGATAAATCTTTAAAAAAAAAAAATTAGTGGAGGTTAATGTCCATGTGAATAAAAGGAAGACGACAGTTGTAACCAAAATAATCTCTAAAAACACCCTTGTCACAGATTCATATTCAGATTGCCAAAAATGTAGTTTTCACCTCAGCATTGAGTGGACTATTTTGGGGATGTTTTTAAAAAGAATCTTTTCCTTTCTATTTCCACTGAGCTCAAAATGAACTCCGTTTTTCTTCTTTCATTCATATTTCCTTTTTAAACATTGTTTATAGATTTTGGAGGTATACGTGGCATTGTTTTTACATGGATATAGGACTTTTAGGGTTTCCATCACCAAAATAACATACATTATACCAGTTAAGTGATTTCTCATCTGTTAGACCTGCACCCTCCCACTCTTCTGAATCTCCAGTGTCTGTTATTCTATGACTGGACTGTTTTCTCTTGTGAAAAATACTAGCTTAGAAACAAAAACTAAGGTTAGAAAAGAAAAGTGCACACTTCCTTGTGTAACAGTATTGGTTCACAAAAATAGGAATTAACTACGCAATAAGATTTAATGTTTAATAACAATAATAAATAAAAAGGCATTGTTTTAAAAGTAAACTACATCTAGAGTTTTATCAAGACAGAAAATAATATAAAAGAAGTAGGACTTACTTTTCTTCCATGTTAAAAAAAGATTTTTAAACATTTTATTTTAAGAAATGTATCATTTATTTAATGTATGTGTAAAGCATGGTGATTGTTTCTTCTTTGGACAGTGATGTTCAAAGGACAAATGACATTAAATATAAGGCTTTGCAAGCTGCTATTTTCCTAAAATCAATATTGTGAAGAGATACAAGATACCACAAACTAGTGATTCATCATGGTCCTTGTCAGAAACCAGGAATGTCACTTGCAAAGCTCACAGGACAAAAGGGCACTGCCAAGGTAGAATTTGGTATATCTGAAAAAATATGAGATGGTTTACCTCATTCAGCAATATCAAGGAGTTTTAAAGGACCAGGAAATGGGCTAGCAGAAGGCAGAGAAGATTCTACTTCCTTCTAGATGTCTACTACAAATGTAAGAGAAAGAGGTTTCTATTCCTTGAAAAAGCAATAGAACTGACTTTGCTTTTACACATAGATCCCTATACACAGGGATCTATGCACAGGCTATATATCCCTTATCTGAGATGTTTCAGACCAGATGTGTTTAGAATTTGGGATATTTTCAGATATTGGAATGTTTGCACACACATAATGAGATGTCCTGGGGACAGGACTCAAGTCTAAACAAAAAATTTATTTGTGCATCATATACACCTTGTGCACATAGCCTAAAGGTAAGTTTATATGGTATTTTAAATAATTTTTTACACAAAGAAAAGTTTTGACTGTATTTGACTGCAATCCATCCCATGAGGTCAGGTGTGGAACTTTCCACATGGGGTACCATGTCAGTACTCAGAAAGTTTCAGATTTGAGATTTTTCAGAATACAGATGCTCAACCCATACTTACAAAGCGTCTCTTAAGTTTTTTTTTTTTTTTTTTTTGAGTCTCACTCTGTCACCCAGGCTGGATGGAGTGCAGTGGCACGATCTTGGCTCACTGTAACCTCCATCTCCCGGGTTCAAGCGATTCTCCTGCCTCAGCCTCCCGAGTAGCTGAGATTACAGGTGCACACCACCATCCTTGGCTAATTTTTTTATTTTAATAGAGACAAGGTTTCACCATGTTGGCCAGGCTGGACTCAAACTCCTGACCTCAAGTGATCCACTTGCCTCACCCTCCCAAAGTGCTGGAATTACAGGCATGTAATTCCTGTAATTTGGCTCCACACCGGGCCCCTTAAGCTCACTTTGATCTTTTCTTTCTCATGCCCTTCTTTAAATATAAAAAGAGATGGTTCTCCTCTTTCCTGGCAGGACACTAAATGACTACATTAAGACATGCTTGGATGATGCACTTCCACAGAACAGGCACGTGCTATGCTCACAACTGTTGCTCCCCTGAGCATTTTCTGAGAGGCCTCCTGCGCTCTCCCTGGTCCTGAAAATAAGGCATCAATAAAAGCCTTCTCTCAGGTCATCAGGCAAATGACGAAACAATAAGCACCTCAGAGAGGAAGAATGTGATGAAAGTGCAAACAGCACCAATGAAAATAGCAGTATGCACTGTGCACTAGCCCTGAGCCACACACTCCATGTCTAAATGCTGTACCTGTATTACCTCATTTTATCTTTACAAAGGACCAGTTGAGATAAATACCAATATTATCCCCATCAATGAGGAAAATGAGGCACAGAGAGGCTAGGTAACTTACTCCAAAGTTACAAAGCTAGCAATGAAAGAGCCAAGATTCAGCTAAATTCAGAGAGTTCTAGAAAGTCAGTTCCGTGATGGTAGAGACTTGGTGATGTATGCCGTTACATCACCAGAATCTAAAAGAGTGCCAGCCACATAGCAGGCATTCAGAAAACTATGGTTTCAATAAGTGAACCAGTAAACTCTGAGAAAGGTGGATTTCTATCAGAGAGAGGGAGGGAGATTGAATAAAGGAGCAAAGGAAGGAAGGAGAGAGGGAAAGAGGGAGGGAGAGAGAGGGGGATGGATGTATAGGGACCCACACAAGAAGAGACACTGTTGCCAAGTTCCTCTTTTTACCAGTTAGCTTGTGGCCCAGCAACCCAGTTTACCGAGAAGAAATCTATTTGCAAAAAGAGAACAAGGACTAAATCCGATTAGTTTTCCCCTCGAGGATGGTAAGCTGTCAGAAAGCGTCAGAGGAATGTACACTCAGGTTCTTAAGCTGGATTATTCCACAAAGGAAAGAAAGGTTTCTACTTTATTCATCTCAGGGTAGTTCCACCCTAAATCACTGACAGCAGATGTAGTCACAAGGACTGAGTCCTGACCTGGTTCCACATGAACACGCTTCACCTCTGCTATGCTATCAGGTCCTCCATCCTCCAGCCCTTTCTCTCTCAATTAAAGACAAACTCCCTTGGGCTGTAGAATGAATAAGGAAAGCTACATTTGCCTAATCTAACCTGGAACACCCTAATCAGTTGTTGGAGCACAAGCCATTCGCTAAATTGGGTCCTGTCTCCACTCAGTCACAAGGAAACTTCTCATAAGAAACACTTTCTCAGTTGGGGGGAAATAGGGGAGGGACAGTGGGGGGTGGGGAGCTGGGGAGAGATAGCATGGGGAGAGATGCCAGATGTAGGTGATGGGGAGGAAGGCAGCAAATCACACTGCCACGTGTGTACCTATGCAACAATCTTGCATGTTCTTCATGTGTACCCCAAAACCTAAAATGCAATAAAATAAATAAATGAGAAAAAAAAGAAACATTTTCTCATCACACACAGTGTAATTTAAAATATTTTTGCTCTCAGGAAAGCAATATTCCTCTGGCAGCACCCAAATGAGAGACAAAGTAAAAGTCTTTTTACTTTCAAGTTGATTTAAAAATCATTTTATAGCCAAAGAATGGCCAGTTGCAGGGAGGAAAGGGATTCAGACATTATCAAAATCCATGACCAAGCAAAATACTCGGATGTCTCACATTTGTTCCCTGGGCCACAGGCAAGGGATGTGCTTAGTGAAATTTACCTTTGAAATGTGTGGCCAGAGTTGCTCACTAAAATTTTATTCAAAATCCATTGACTTTTTTTCCTAGACTTGGCTATTCTTGCAGACAGCATGACGCTCCAGATTTTGGATCTGAGGTGTTCAGTTCTCAACATGAAAAAAATCAAAATTTAGTTTTTAAAAATAGCTCAGGTGAGATTCCACTAACTACCACCTGAACTCATATAAGGCTGAAGGAATAAGTGGAAATTTTTAAAACAAGTGCTAGGTCAAGCTAAGACATGACTGAAACAGGAGAGGCAGTGACAATTTTCCTTCACTAAGTCATTCATTGATGGAACAACACTCATCTTCAAGGACTGTTATTTACACAAGAGAAGGATTATATCATAAATTTAAGTCCACGTACTCTTAAACGAAACTTTAGATGAACATCCTGAATTCTATCTGACTTTGTCCATTAAAAAAAAAAAAAAAAAAAGAGGGCCGGGAGTGGGGGCTCGCTCCTATAACCCCAGC